TAAATATCATAAAGCCTGCCATTTGATATAAATAAATAAAAGTTTCTAAGTGACGGACCATAGATCATACCACATCATAATATGCACATTCAAATGGATCAAGCTAGTAAAGTACTCACCTGCATATAGGCGTCAAGAGGGTCGATTTCTTCCTCCTCTTCCTGTTTCTCTGTATCATTAGATGGAACCGATAGGTCATCTTTAACAGCGGAGGGAGGTGAGGGAATATCATCTTCATCATCGTCGTCCAGGGACCACTTCTTAACATTTCGCACTTTTATTCCGTCTAGGAGCTTGCTGTGGGCTGTCACTACGTCCTGCTTCAGTCGTCTCTCACGACGCTCACGCTCGACGCGCTCACGTCTCTAAAAAAAGAAAAATAAATGAAGATCACTAATTTATAATTTCCGTAACATGAACTGAATGTAAGCATTCCGTTCGACCCGATATCGATTATTAAATGACTAGTTTGTACGGTCTGTAGTCACAGTTCTGTAGAGAAAGGTCATTAAATTGTTTTAGTTTTAAAAAGTATAGAGACAATTAAGGGATACGGATTAGAACTGCATTAAAACTGCATTTATTTACTTACAATTTCGAAGTTAAAACCTATATCAATGTGTTTAATGGAGCCTTAAACTTGCTGCCGTCAGACACTAATTAATAGGAAAGTTTTGAAACGGATATCCAAAAAGACAACCAAAGTATAATAAATTAATATTACAAGAACTAAAAGAAATAAAAATATCTACCTTCTGCATTTCTATTTCCAATCGCTTCTGTGCCTCATCTTTATCCAACGACGCATCAAGTATTAATGCACCTTCAAGACCAGAAGAACCATTTGCGGCGGATTTAAGCCTGGAAAGAGCTTCTAGAGCGATAGAAGATACTCGATCACTTCTTGACTCCTTTTGAGAAGAATTGCTAAGTAAGGAACTGAACGAATTAGCCGAAGAACTGGTGAGCTCTGAACTCCTGGGATGGCGGGACGACCTCGGAGGAGTACGAGAACGACCAGGAGACTTATCACGATCACGTCTGTGGTGCCTATGACGACGATGTCGGTCTGTACTGTGGGATCTTGACCGCGAACGGCGTCTACGTGAAGAACGGTAGGGCGAGCGATCATGTCTGAAAGTTAAATAACTCATCATTAGTATCTTTGGAAACAAGCCAATAAAAAACTTCTGAATAAGTATCAAATAAATGGGGAATTTTTTCCATATCAAATTAAAATTCCCATTTGTTGTCATAGTGAGCCTAAATCAATATCATTAGTGGAACCTTACATTGATCAGTCATCTGCCGATCATTTTTGACGGTATCCAAGCGAATTCTTCAATATTCAAGTATCGATCTGTGGGAAAATTATTATATTTAACGAAAATAAATGAAGATAAAAGAGTATAAAATGTAATACTTTATAATTTGAAGGGTAACCTCACCTTCCCATTTTTCGACGACAAATACAAATCCGGCAAAGAATGAATGATAGAACCCAGGTTTTACATAAATTAAAACAAAAAGCAAATAATTCCCATCACTAAAACCATAAAAGCAGCTCTTATAAATGTACATTAAGATTAGATATTAAATATATGTTTGCCAGGTCATTGTTATTTTATTTAGATTTCTGTTATTGAAATATTTCTATTTTGGTTCATTTCAAAGTTTTTCATATTCCTACTAATCATAAATTAATATCCATATTTACTTGTAAGAAATTAATAAATAATACAGATTATTCCTTGGCAAATGATTATTTTTAAAAATTCTAATTCAGCTATTTTTCATTTCCTCTTATTTCGAACTTTGCAACTGCACTGATTATTATAAACCAATGATTTTTAAATAATATGTTGAATAAGTTTTAAATTTTTGAATTATTTAATCATGTTATGTGCCTTCTGCGAAATCACATTCAATTTATCATCGGTCGAGCTTCTTTCACCACCTCTCGATAATACGAGATCCAAAATTTGCTCAAAGAATTACCTTTAATGAAAATATTAATGCAAAATAAAAACGATTTTCTACTATATCATTATGAACCGTACATTTCGAGGTAAGTGGTTTGACCCATATATTAGTTTCATTATGGATTACCGAAGGTAAAAGTTAATAACAATATGCATTTTACGATTTCTGAAGCAATAATTTAATCAAAACCGGCTAATGGTGGTTAGGCTTCATCTAATCTAAGCAGATTTTTCGTTGCTCTCCTGCATGATTTATTTCGTATCTCTCCACATAAACCTGCGCATCTTCCGTTAGGAAGTTACTCATGACGCCAATTACACGTCTTCTGTGGTAATACCATTTCAAATAATATATACTTCAGATGCAAATAGCTCTTTGAAAACTTTCCCCATTTTGTTTGCTCAATATTATTAAACATGGGCTTTTCTATACTATTCCTGGTGTGAAGGACATTGTTGCTATCCTTTCTTTATTAAATTTTAATGTTAAGGGCTACTCAAATTGGTTTTAATTGGACCACTTAATCAAAAGACATTTGTTAGCTGGTAGTAATTCTACAAATTGTAGTTTAGGCGATCAAAAATTACACAAGGGGCTAAATTTTTATATCCCATTAATGACTAACCATAGTTTCCTCAAATACATATTTCTTTACAGAGGTGCCCTATAGACTTACCTCCATGTGGTGCGCCAAAAAATCTGTAAACCAGCAGATGACTCCAAACTACTATGACCTCACTGTAAGTCATATTCTACCACTTCCACAGTACTCTCTTTACATTTTTCTCTATCTTTGTGTCTGTGAATTGCTCTTATGTTCCCCTCTCCACTTTTATGACTTTGATGTTCCTCCCCTATGTCAAGCCCGAAGTCAACTAAAGGGCTATTGATGACTATCATAGAGCCTGCCATTTTGTATAAATAACTATTCCTTAGCACAGAGAGCACTACGCCGGCTATTCTCTTACTGTCATTTCCTATTTGAGGGATTTTGTAACCATGCAATATACTCAGAAACTAATTTGCTCTCTTCTTCCACTAAAGTCTTATAGTTTTCCCGAAAAATCATCTTTACCCTCGACCTTGCCTCATCTTCGTATTAATCTATCTAGGTGCCTCGTAATAAAGGCACAGATTTCCACGCCACCTACTGTTTTATTAAAGCGTATATATAGTCTCCTTTGTTCAATATCAATCAAGCTTACCTGCCTATTTATCGCAAGCACTCTCTGTTTATTTATCCATTGTTAGAGCCAATGCAAACTCTCGTAAGCCTCAATAAAATCGACAACCCATCTCACATGATAAAGGGATTTCAACCAAAGCTCATTTTCTTTACCCTATCTATTCAATCGAATTATCTAATTTTATTTGCATGCGTTTACTTTAAGTGCATTTAGAAGTTCCGGCAGCAAAATCACGCCGATTAGTCACGTGACGCATGTGTGAAAGTACTAGCACCTACAGCTCATTCACTTCAAAATATTTATTAATATTTGCGCCATCTTTTGCTGCTGTTGCGGTAAATGACACAAATCCCCCC